GCTTTACTACTGTTGGCAGCTCCGGCGTAGATAGTCCTGAACGTGATGCTTCTGCATGAGCATGTGTGCGAGGTTTTTATTTAGACTTGAGACTGTTGATTGCAAAGACAAAAGTGCCGATCGAAAATGGTGACCCTTGGGCAGACATAATGACGGTGCTCGCACGTGGCTGCTTGCTGCCATGGTAGCAAGCTGATTGTTCCGGCTTCTTTTTCTTCGAGGAGCTTGAGGTAGGCCCACCCCAATCCCCAGGCGCGCCCGCGCGCCCTGTGCACAGATCTCATCCTGATGATGCACATTTGACAGCCTCGATATCCAAACCCTCTCTGTCTAACTTTCCCTTTCCTTGGTTCGGATGGTGTGGGATCAAGGCCCCTCCCGCAGAAACGACTCCCCATTATGAACTCGAACCCCAAACACGGCTCAACCTGGTATCCCCAAACGACAAAGGTGGGAAGCTGGCCTGTAACGACACCACCAGCAACATGACTGGCGTCTGGTGTGGGGAGCCAGCTGCGAGAATGTAGGTATCCAGGCCTGCGCCAAGCAAGGTCTACGAGTGCAGACCCTGTCGGATTGTGCGGGGTCTGAATTTGTGAGACATCAGCAGAACATGTGTCTACACAAGGTCTGGCAGGGTATGCTACCAGCGAGCAAACAATGCCTTTTTAAAGGATAGTGACAGGAATACTCTCAAGATAGCTTAAGCCTTCTCGGTGCTTTTGAAATATGAGGGGGTGTTCCGTTAGGATGTTCCTGAAAAGCCCGCTAGGTTCAATACGGCATAAGAACTGTCCCCCCTTGCATCTCGGGCTAAATCTCCGAAATTTAGCCACCTCCCAGATCGCACACGTTCGAGCATATTATGCAAGACTGCTCCGGGTTTAGCCTTGAAACGCAAGAAAGATTGCCTTCAACGGTTGTTTTTACTATCACTAGTACGACTTCGATAACCAGGTTCGTCATCTGATTCACAACAACCCAAGTCTCCCGTCCTCGCGGTCTTGACTCACATTCGCCCGGATATGCAGCATTGCGCAGGAAGGACCGACAAGATTGGCGTGAGCTTGCTTTTCGGATGGCACATGAGGCATTGTCATGTGCTCAGTTGCTGCCACCATGTGTTCTGAATCTGCCGCGTGACCTCACAGACGCCGCATGCAGCGCAAATGAGCTGCAGGAGCCACGACGGCTCTAGAATAGAATAGCTATTATAAAGAGATCGCTGTTATCAGCTGAATCAAGAACAATGCTATTCCAATGCTCCCACGAGATTGAATACACGACCAAACTATTTCCAGGACTTGGGATTTTGCGCCAATCGCCAAAGGGCTGTTGGCGATTGGGCTCCTGTTGCCTAGAATCTTGCGTTTTCGATCTCTCCTTGCAACGCGCTGAGCAAGGGGCTAAACCCGAAATGCCGGCAACAAAAACTTCTCCCTGGAACTTTCGTGAGCAGGGGTTTGAACTGTTCAAGTTCTTGCTGGGTTGTTTGCGGGCTGAGGAGAAGTGCTGTTTCAGTTCTTGCTGAGTTGTTTGGGGGCTGGGGGGAAGTGCAGTTCCTGATGCAACTGTTTGAAGGGAGAAGTGGTTGGGCTCAGCTGGCAACACAGCTCCCGGCCGGAGTCTGAGCCTAAGGCCTGACCGCGTCGGGTGAAACCAAATGAACGAGGGCATATTTGCTGAGGCTCATCATGCATGCTAGAATGCAGGGATAATGAGACGGATAATGACGAGTATGAAGCTTTTCTACGCTACCAGCATTCATGGAGATCTCAGAAGATTCCGTCATTTGGAGAATACCCGCTATTACGCTACGCGATTCGAGGTGGCATATTATCCTGAGCACGTGGCGTTGTAAAGCACCGAAAAATACCTTGCTTGCCTCTGGCAAGCGCAAGGATAAAATAAAGTGAGGCTGGAGGGGACAGGTGAGGCAACGAACGAGGCTTTCATGCCAAGCTAGTTTAGGGTTTAGCTTAGGTTTTAGTTTTGGGTGGGGTTCGTGGGAAACGGAGATGTTCATCTGTCTGCCCGCTATTGTCTTTGATTTCTACTATCATGTCTTGCATTCCATGCGAGCTTGCATTCAAGTGCTGCGAACCCAGATATGGTAAGCCCGTAAGAAGAAGCATAGCCTTGACACAGCCGCACTTCCATTTCCCCAAGCCTGCAAAGCCCGCAGTCAACCCGATAGGGAGCCCTGTTGCCGGCAACACAATAGTTGTCGAAATGGCCGCAAGTGGCCGCGCCGTAATGTTGAGAAGCATGTTTTTAATCAAAAGGCTCGTCGTGCTGGCGGAGCCTGGGAAACCTAATCCCATTGCGTTGGCGCGTCACGGCGCTTTGTGCCAAAAAAAATTAAGGTTTGGAGTTTACACCCTGAACCCTAAATGGCAGGCTTTGCTGCTCGGACCTGTTGCGCAATTTCAAAATAAAGATGGACCCCCTAGCTACGTCTTGTAATCATCAAGAATAAGTAGCATCCCACGCTCTATGTATGAAAGTCAATATCGGGTGGGACTGAAGTGCACTTATTCTTTTGTGCGCTACCTCTGCTACCTCGCCGACTTTTGGGGTGTATACATACTGCATTAGGAGGCCCACACTTCAAGAGGGCCTCCAGAAGAGTCTTCAGAACCTTTTTTTTTAGGGGTCCCTGCGTCAAAAACGACCTGAACCCGATACAGTCTCTATAAACTCCAAACCTTAAACCCTAAACGCTTCCAAAGCTGCTTCGTTTTTTTACATCCTTGGCACGCTTCTGTGGGGATTCGCCCATTTCCGGGCGCAGGCCGCTCTAGTTGAACCAGCTTCTTCATATGAAACAAGGAGGTGTGCTCATCGCAACCATGGCCTCACCGACCAAGGCCTTCTTGCACACAGTCGTCGCCAAGGCCAGCAGGCTCCTCCATCGACAAGTGGCTTTGCTGTGGCCGTTTGCAGTGAATATGACGGTCGAACCGTCTCCACGTATTAGATGCAGCCGAGACAAACAGTTTCTCGAACGCCTTTACCAATGACGACTCGGCCATCGGATGTTATAGCCAAAACATTGACCACTCCATGCGTAAAGTGCCAGTGCTCGGACAAAGGGATCTCTGAAGTTCCGCTTCCCGTTGACATGGGCCGTACTCTAGCAATCCGTGGGTTCGGCGTCTCTTCAAGCTGGAGGAGCACATCTGCTGCAACTGCTTTGCCTTTGGAATCTCGGTGCTTCCGGACTTGCACCAAGCCAAGTTCGGAGACGTACATCTTCTGCTGAAGGCCATCAGCATACTTGATCGTCCAGAGCCCTGAGAAGTGCTTCCAGTGCTGGCTCAGGCGCGGGTGTACGGCACAGCAGCCACTCTCCCACGAAGGACAGCCCCGAAGCTCAGCAAGCATGCCTTCCTGCGAGAGCTGTTGAGAGCGGCTCCGGAATTGAGGATGCCGTGCTGGTGCAGCACTGTCTGAGTCCCCACGATAGCGTGCGCAGCAGTGGCCCCAGGTGGCATTTGGGAAGCTCCAGCAGCTGGCCTCCAAGTTACCAACAAAATGCCACGATTGTGCAGCCACCAACTGCTCCAAGGCTTCGGAGGCTTCAGCATTTGCACCGGTGACCATGTCCAGCAGCGCGGACAAACGCCAAAGGCCCAATGTACCGGCTGCCGCCACTGTTTCCCTTTTGACGCCGTCGGCCTTCGCCAGGCACAGCCTCAGAACAATGGGGGTCCATGTAAGGACCTTTAGAATCCTGTGCTATAGCCTACCACTGCTTAAAGGGTTCAAGGGCAGGATTAAAACTCAAACTCCGAAAGAGGGCTCGCCGTCACTGCTTTACGACTGGCTGTGGCTATCCCTCAACAGCTGTCCTTAAAGCAAAGGTAAGTGGTGAAGCGGAACAATCAAGTTGGAAACTAATGGCAGCAGACAGCAACAGTGGGCAGTCGACCTCAACACTCATTAATGAGAAAGTGGGCAAGGCGTTGAGGGTCTCCAGTTGCAGAAGAAGCTCCGCAACAACTCTTTGGAACACTTTCCAAAATCAAAACTAAAAGGCCTGTCACAATCCTAGCACAACCCCTAGAGAAACAGGATGAAAACCCTGAGCAACCCTCTATGAACACCCTACCAACAACATATTTAAAAGATACCGATACTACGCCGTAGAAAAGCGAGTGACGACCCTGTCACCACATGATTTTACCAACTTCTCAGACAGATGAATACAGGCCTTCTTTTGAAAAAAAAATTGCAAGGTAAACGATGCAACCCAGAGACGCGCCGCTCGCCTGTCTGTGACTCAAAAGAAGGAAAATGCTGCCGAACAGAAACACGAACAACCATGACCACACTGAGTCGCAGCGATAAAGTTGATAACACCAAAATCATATAAAAGCAACCGCAGCAAAAATGACAAGAACTGAACTAAGACTTCTTTAGCACAAACATAGAAAATGCCAAATTTCCATGTTGTCGTTTCAGTACCGCTATACCGTTAAGCAACAGAATCTCTTGGCTTTTGCATAGCCGCCTGTGAGCTGCCTGGATCTGAGCTGGGCCCCAACTCGCCACCACCCCGTCCGCTTTCCTGGCATGTACAACAGGACGCATAGACTTTTTTCTACTAAAATTCTAGGGCGGCACAGTGGGTGGGGAATAGGGCCTTTGCAGTAAGACTCGCAGAGGTTATAGAAGGATGCCCTGCAATTTTACAGACATTCTGTTGGGACAAGCATTAAACAGGGGGTATTGTACTCCTCTTGCTGCGTAGCATCACTTAATTCAACTAGAAATCAAAAAACAAAATGACATTCCATGACGCCTGCCCCGGCCATTGCAGAGCGCATTGCAGCACGGCCGAAAGCTTCCGGCAAAAACCTTCCCTGAAGAAGGCCGGAATGATCACCACGACGGTGTCCCAGTGCCTCAACTCCATCTGCTTGTATGCTGTGTCATTCATCTAGGGGTTTAGGGTCTAGGGTTTAGCTGAGGCTCTCCTGGCTGGTGCCAGCGGCCTGGACCAAGCTGCTCAGCTGCTGAATGCTCAGGCCACGGTCTTGACTGGGGATGCGGTGCCACTGGTCCACATGTCCCAGACACGAGGTGCCTTCAGACCAGATTCACCAAAGGCTCCTAAGATCCTCAAGTGCACCACACAACTATCCCGGGAGGCCTTCTCTGCTGACACCCGGTGCCAAGGCCACCACGCGCGGCCGAGGCTCCCAGAGACCAGGGAAACGCGCAAGCAACGCTTCATTGCAAACATGGAGGTTCCAGCGATTCTGATGAAACAAAGCTTGTCCGGGATCTTTGCTGGTCTCCAAATCCTCCGCACGTCCTGGCAATCCCAGGTTGTAGCTAGCACGGCGAATCCCTCGCTGCGCCAAAGTGGCAGAAAGCCATAGGTCGTCGTGCATGAAACACTCTGTGGGCCAGCTATCGTCCGGTGGTTCCCACTTTGGATCTGACATCGTGTCCAAGGTGGAATCGTCCTGTGGGTAGAAGAACCAGGGCCGCACTATGCAGCCAAGCCAGCCCAATGTCATGGGGCCCATGGAGAAGCCCAGATCTACATACCCCAGGCAGCCTGCAGGGTGCATGCAGAGATTTAGTAGTTTCCCAAAATAGGGGGACCCCAATATAGACCACTAAATACTATAGTCCTTATTATGGGGACCCCCAAAAGGGTACCCCTAGTTTTAGGAAACCCCCATGTTTCCAGGGGTAGAGGGGATAGGATGCACCAAAAAGTTGATGGAGGAATTACTTGTGCTGTTGAGGCTGGTGCAGCTATTGATTCTTCTTCTGTGCATCATTTGCTTCATGTTGGTGGCGTCGCTGTTGTTACTGCCCTCAGAGCGCAACAACACAGACCGCGTTTTAAATTTGCAGTTTGGCGCATAGAAACACTGGCAGGCGTGGCATTTCGGGATGGTTTGGCGTTGGTGCGCCAGAAATTGACCTGTCCAGAAAACAACATGCTGCGCAACTTCAACCTCATAAACACGAACATGAACTGAAGTTGTTGTTTGACTACGACCTCCTTGATGCAAGAGCCTTGCCGAAAAAGAAAAAAACAATGTGGGAATGACCAAACAGCTCCGCTGCTTTTTCTGAGCTACGTCCATGTTCCAGCACGTCCACTCCCACGCACATCCATGCACAAACCATAATGCATCCACGCCTGACGAGCTGGACCGGACGGTTTTGACAACATGACTTGAGAAGGGCCCATGGGTGACCGGGGACCGCCCGCTACTTCGACAAAGAAATGCCTTTCCTGTCCCGAGAACGCCTCCCCATGGTCAAGCTGGACTGGATGGGTCTGGTGATCCTGCACGACATCAGCGTCGGTTCGTAGACTACAAAATGGAGGCGACAAGGCCTGGGATGGAGAACATCCTGAAAGTAAATGCCAGGAGCTTCATGAAATCTCAAGCTGTGGCTATTCATAAAAACGAGGAGAGGCCGGCAAATCTCATAGGTAAGCGCATCGTCGACTCGATTCCATTCGGGAGCAGGCTCTGACTACGAGCACAACAAGAATGATCCCGAAGACTACCGCTGCACTTGCCATGGCAAGTCGGACCCTGGCGGTCTGGACCTCAGTGACTTCTTCGAGCATCTCCTGCATAAGGGTCCAAATGGTCAAACCAAAATGGTCTCTGACGAGCCACTGCCTGAAGTTGATGCGATGGAATTTGCTGGCGAGCTCATGTCGGTTTTCTGCCGCGAGACGCAGCAGCAAGCAGCTCAGGGCAAAGAAAAAAGATGCAATATAACCAGCCACCCAGTAACCCCAATCATCCCCATTATTAATCTATTTACTAAGTCTCCCTGACTCTCCAACAGTCCAAAGCGAGCTTCGGGATTAGGGATTCGGTTTTAGGGTTTAGGGACGGGCACAGTAGGGGTCTAGGGTTTGGGTCTTAACAGGCTGCAGTCTAAAGCCTGAGCGTTTAGGTTTTAGGGTTTAGGGCTTAGTTTAGTTAAGGGTTTTGAGCCCCCTGGCCTGCAATTTTTTTTGTGTTTGGGGAGCTGGAGGTCAGGGAGTTCATGATAGGCTGTGCAAGGGTGAGCCCCGGTGCTATTTGGTAGTTTCCCAAATAGGGGGACCCCAATATAGACCCCTAAATACTATAGTCCTTACTTTGGGGACCCCCAAAAGGATACCCCTAATTTTGGGAACCCCCATTTAGAACCCTAACAGGGTCCTTAATAATAGGTACTTAGGGCAGAGTAGAGGTTCGTTGAAGGGTCTGGGTAGCTTTGGCTCAATGAAGTTGCACGTCTCCCAGGGTGTGGAGTCTTGGCAGTCATAGCCGTGACAGGACAGTTCAGAAGCACTTCGGGCGGCTTTAACGTGGATAACAGGATTCCGTCCTGGAAAGGACAGGCAAGACGTGGCCACCTCCAGACAGCGAAGCCTGGACTGTTGGCATCTATGGCTCCTTTGCTGACCATCGCAACATGCTCAGCTTGTTTTAAAACAAGGCGCTGCAGGATAGCCATTCCCGGGTTAGCAGAAATCTGCCAGGCCACTTCTCTGCTCAACTCTCAGGCTGTCAGGGCGTGTTTTGCACAGATCACCACGACTGGATATGACAAGGTCGCCCTTCGGGCTTCACAGGTTTAATGTCAGGGAAAGGGATTCTAACAAATTCTTCACATTGATCAAAGGACCTACTAGCACATTTGAACACAGCCATAATGGCTAGCCGTCTAAACATCGCCATTAGGCACCAAGGTCCCAGGCCTGAGGTCCAGGTATGCGTATCCAAGCAGGGCCGAAAGTCCGGCAAGGAGTGGACACCCAAAGTCGCGACGGCAGACCCTTGGCTTTCACTGCGCTTGGCAGTCGCGAGCAGCAGAGCGATGTGGTTTTTGCTCAGACGCATGTCATCTGCAGCAATCATCACGAAGGCATCCCGTTGCTTGGCATACCTCAAGCCATTGAACAAATGTGTGCCTGGGCCCAAATCCTCGCAGGTCCGGTCGACAATGAGTCCTGGCCGAGGTTTCTGCAAGAAATCGGGGAGCTCGTGGTCCTCTGGGTATGCATGGTCCTTGAACCGCATCTTGCCTCGGGGGATGGACAGCACCACGAGGTCTGGGAGGACCTGGGACCATGAGAACCATTGAGCAATAGATTAGGTTTTAGCGTTGACAACTGAAAATGTCATAGAATCTTGAAAGAATGTCACGCAACTCTTTTAGCCATGCCATTGCCTACAGATCCAACTATACCTACCCTAAACCGTAAACCCAGGACCTACCCAAGATCTGCACTTCTGGTACCCAAATCCCCAGTACCCGTCAGACACATGGACCCTTGGAGCCTTGAAGCCCTTTGTAGATATGTGGGTTTCCCAAAAGTAGGCGTACCTTCTGGGGGGTTCCTATAATACGGATTATAGTATTTTTTGGTCTATATTGGGGTCCCCCAATTTTGGGAAACTACCAAATATTTCAGGGAGTATAAAAAACTAGACTGGTTGTTCTGGCTCCAATGTATGCCCAACAGGTGCAGTCTCTTCATACCAGAAAACCAGAATAGGAGCATCGGCTTTTGCAGGTCAGCCAACTACTACGCAAAGGTCTGCGCGCTAGCTTTTCGGAAGTGTCACTGCTGATGCCTTGACAAATGCGCCCTCATGTTCCAAGCTTTAAGTGAATACGCATATCTTAGCGCATGTAGCGTCGCCTGGTACACAGTACATTATACAGACAAGTCATCTTTCAGCAAAGTTTTAGCAAGATGTCAGGATTGCGTACTACATGCAACAACCAGTACAGATGGCGAGCATTTTGGCACAAGCATGTTCGTCCATCGAAAAAGAAGTTATCGGTAATAATGAGTAGTCATGCAAATCACTGCGAAGCTTTTTCCTAATGACTCAAGGCGCCTTCAGCAAAGCGGCTGCGGTAAGTCAAGCTGAACTAGGTCATGCAATATGGTCAAGCACTCTCGATACAGGGAGTTATTCACAATCAACCTGTTGTCTAGTCAGCTTGCCGCTGTCATTGCCTACTCTAGCTACCTACCATAATGGACGCCATTTGCTATCCACTATGAGCATCAACAAGGCCAGTGCGACATGGGCCGTGGTATTACGGCCACTGTACAAGTGCACGAATTATGCTGCAGTAGTATGCCGTAGTACGGTCATACGTATGCCATGTTGCAGGTCATACACACACAGGACTTAAAGCTTAGCTCGTTGGATTTCATACGAGCAGCTGTTCAGGATCTTCAGTAAGAAGTCCGGCTCCATCGACTTACTCAAGCAGTCTGCGGCCTGCGTAGCAGTGTCGCACCAGTCGACTCGGTCACCACCTGCAGGGTAATGGTACCGTTCTCGTACCATCATCGAGAAATATTGACTGACGCAGGACGCTCAGTTCAATTTGCATGCGTTTGTCCTGTACTTTAGCGGGGACCTCAACATTGAGATGGTCCACAAGGCTCCTGCAATCCGAGAGCATCACGTGTGGAACGTGCTCTCTGGCCGAATCGTACCAGGATGGACCCGAGGCAAGGTGTCCATACATTTCGGCGAGGACAGCCCGAATCTTATCCCCAGCTTCCTGAGCGTCTTGTAGAGCGTACGTCTCAGCTTGTAGAGTTGCTCTGCATACTCTTTTGATCGTGGTGCTGCTGTAGGAAACAAGCATCACGTCCAACAGACAGTTCTCCGGATCGCGAAGCTGATCCGTTGGGCATAGGAAGTGAACTCTTCCTTGCTGGGATTTGAGCTGTGTTTCTCCCGCGAAACTTGCGTCGGAAGCAGTAAACACGCCTAACTTCATGAAGTCTAGGCTTCCTGAATGACGGTACCTAATCTCAGGTCCTTGGCCTAAGGCCATTTTAAGTAACTTATTTGCTTCAGTACGAGTAGCAACCTTTGATCCCTTGATACTGCTCTGTAGACGCGACACCCTGTAAAGTATGTCGGGTCGGCACTGGCGAGATAGCCATGACAAAGATCCCACGACGGAACGCAGCTGTCGTTCGTCGCCAGAAGTAATGGGATCAGACGCCTTGCGATTCTTTTGGATATCGATATATGTCGTCTGCGTTGTGTTATCGCTCACGTCGATTAAGACATCCTTTCCTTCCATGCTGAATTGCTTGCCACAGAAACGGAGTCTGCCGATCTCACATTTTCCTACTTCAAAACGGCTCAGCAACTTATCAATGAAAACTTGTCCACTCTCGGTACAAGCCCAAAGAAAATCATCAACATGGGTGGTCAGAACGAGATCCACCTTGCCTTTACTCTTGTGGTAGTAAAAGGCAGGAAAGATGCGGCTAGCAGAAAGGCCTACATCCTTGGCATTGTGGTCCACTTTCTTCCAGAATCCACGGCCGCTGTCGACGAGTCCATAAACAGGTACTCGTATCAACAGATACGTGTCTGGGTCAACCTTTGGTAAACCACCGGAGGGTTGCCGCATAAGCACGATACGATCAATAGATAACGCCTGAAAGTACGCGTTCCTAATGTCGGGGCAATGGGGCGGTACCCCTTCAGCAGCGGCGAAGCTCGCTACTATACAGCGCGTCTCGAGATCGGATGTTGGAGCATCCGTCCGCACCTCACTGGCATCTTCCAAATTGCCACATCCGACAAGCCTGGATTTGAACTCCGGCACAAAGTCGGGTTGATGTTGCTCGCGGATATTCTTTATAGTATCCACCCATTTCATGGGGAGCGCAACATGTCCTTCCTCTAACAGGTCCTTGAGATACTGTCCTTTGATGGGTATGGCTGCTTGGAAGTCCATATACTTTTTCCATTCCTTCGCACGGCTTTCATCGATCTTTCTTCGTATGAAAGGAGAGCAGGTGTCGTAATTCAACAGTCCTGAGAGTCGTTTGTACTCCTCACGGCGCTGCTGCTCAACCTGTTCTTTGGTTAGAAGGCGGTTGGCCATGAACGCCTTGTAGGTCGTCCAGCGCTGCGATTGCTTCTCAATCATGGCGCCGTTGATGTCACCATACTGCGCAGTTCGCGCTTCTTGAAGCGAGTCTCGAATTTGCTGATCATCTTTGCGTCATAGGCTCTGCTCGGCTTTCACGTCGAGGGCGAACGCTCCTCTGCGAGCTCTCAGCTCGAACAGGTAAGTCTGCGCGAACAACACGGGACCTAGAAGGTCCTGCTTCCTCTTCCTCCGCGATAGCGGGAAGCGGCATGTCAAAGTCATCATGCTCAACTGGTTCTTCAGGCGCTAGAGGTTCGGCTTCGATACCTCTATGGTCTTCGAACTCTTGGTTACCCCGCGCGATGGCGTCGGGAATAACAGGCTCATCGTTCACAACTTGATGGGCTAATGCTTCGGCGTCAGTAGCGGGACGTAGGTTTTGCGCTGAAACTAAAACCGGTACGTTCTCACATAACAACCAAACATCTTGCCCTTCTGAACCTTCGCGTCCGATGACTCTAGACGCAGGTGACCATACGGTCTTGCCTCCTTTGTCCCTTCTGAAGGTAACAATATCACCCACTGTGTAATCATATGGGATAGGCTTAGCGTTGCGCCAAAGTGCACGCTGGACCCTTTTCGAGGTGTCCATATGCATGAACGCTTTCTTGGCCTCAGCCCTTGCCTGGTTCTGTAAAGCAAAACGGGACTCTGGGTCGACACTGTCTTGTGTCGCCCCTAAGTCTGCGTGCCCTTCCTCGTACTCCACGAGGGGCCTTGCCAAGTACCCACTGTGATGGTGAATAGCTCCCATGGCAAAGTAGGCTATTCTTCGTAGTACAACATTCATCCAACACGGATTGAACGCTTGCCCATCCTACTTGGGTCTGGGAAATTACTTTCCTAGCCATTCCCTTAACAACACCGCTATGGCGGGAGCGTGGTGCACTTGGATTCCGTGAGAGGACATCCAATAGGCTAAGACACCACGGTTGCACAGACCTCTGTCACAATGTAGGGTTTCAGGTTGCCCGGCCCAGGTCATCCACTTGCGCCTTGAAGCGTCAAGGCACGTGGCGCTGGAGGCCTGGCCAGGTCCTTCCCTCACAATTCCTGTGAGTTGAAAACATGTCCCAAAACAGATCATGTTTCACACCTGAAGCTTAGTGCCTTGCGCGTCCAAGACTTTCAATAGGTCAATGCCGAGGGAATGATTGAACATGTATTTCTCAGGCATTGCCACCTTGTGGGCTGGTCTGCGAGGAGCAGCCTCCTCACACTCCGCACATCGGAGCAACTTAGCTCCTTCCACATAGGTTTTATCGACCCTCGCAGCACGTAGGAGATTGATTAAAACCTTTTGAGAATTGACGGTGTAACCTCCTAAGAGCTACCCTAATGAGTTGGGGTAAGGCCCTCCAACCCTTCCGCCGTTCGGCTTCACTAGCTGGAAGGTTGCGCACCTCGGCTTTGTCTAGCTCGAGGTCCTGCTGCAAGGCTTCTTCGCCGGGATCCACCCTAGCGATATCATCAGGACCTTCAACCTGGTCAAAGGGAACTTGTGCCTCAGCATCAAGTTCTTCTTGAATTTCTGCTGGAAATGCAGTTGCTGCTAGGGCCATAGCTGCTTGATCCTCAGAACTATTCTTGATCCAGTCAATAAAATCTGAATCAAAGCAATCACTGAATGATTTAGGAGCTCTGCTAGGATAGCTATCACAAGTCCATCCCTCGAAAGCATCACAAAGCTCTTGATCATTCGTAGAGAAAGACACCCCACAGCAGGGTAGATAGGGATAGAAGTTGTTGCCATCTAGAGGCAACCCCTACATCTATGAGAAGATAAGGGACCCCGGCCCAGCGCACTCACAGTGTGATACAACCTCATCCACTAAGTCTGAATGCTGCACAGCTGACTCAGGATGGGAATACTCTACACACACAAAACCAAACTAGGGCCTACCTCCTGCAGAACTTGTCTGGACCCATTAGTTGTCCAGTCCCCACCTGCCTCTCTTCCCACATCGATGGTGCGGAAGATGATGTCCTGGAAAGGCACGGGATGGAGCGGGCCTAGGCTGGTTCAGATTAGTCCACTGCGCTGCTCGGTCCACCCTTAGGCACATACATAGGGTCCGCAGCGGTACCCTTG